GTGTGATGCCTGTGCCTTATCGGGTGCGGGTACGCCGTGCGGGCCCTGCCGCTGGGGCCTTCGGTGGAGCTGCCGTTTTGGCCCGAAACATGTAAAGGGTGTGTGAGTGTGTGTGTGTGGTGCTGATGATTTTGACGACGATGCTGATGATACTGAGGCTGATGATGCTGATGCTGATGATGATGGTGGTGGAGGTGATGGTGATGGTGATGGTGATGGTGATGGTGATGGTGATGGTGATGGTGATGGTGATGATGATGATGATGATGATGATGATGCTGATGATGATGGTGTTGATACGGATGCTGATCCTGACGCTGATGTTGATGACGATGGCGATGATGATGATGCTGATGGTGATGATGGTGATGATGTTCAATGATGATGATGCTGATGATGATACTGGAGCAGCTAATGATGATACTGATTTTGCCGATGCTGATGTTGATGTTGATGATGATTGTGATGATGAGGATGATGATGATCATGATGAGGATGAGGATGTTGATGATACTAATGATGAGGATGACGATGGTAATGATTATTATGATGCTGTTGCCGATGATGTTGATGATGACGATGATGATGATGATGAAGATGATGATGATGGTGGTGCTGATGATGGTGATGATCATGATGATGATGATGATGATGATGATGATGATGATGATAATGATGATGATGATGATGATGATGATGGTCCTGGTGATGTTGACGATGATGATGACGATACTATAGCTTAAAATGATGATGATGATGATGATGATGATGATGATGATGATGGTGATGGTGATGGCGATGGCGATGGCGATGGTGATGATGATGGTGATCGTGGTGATGATGATGCTGATGGTGGTGGTGGTGGTGATTATGATTATGGTGATGATGACGGTGATGATGATGGTGATGGTGATGGTGATTGTGATGGTGGGAGTGATGATGATGCTTCTGCTGATGATAATGATAATGATGATGATGGTGATGATGATGGTGATGGTGGTGGTGATGATGATGATACTGGCGTTGGCGACGAGGAGGGCAGAGGCAAGGAGTTGGAGCAGGGAGGAGGGGCAGGAAGACGAGGAGAGGAGAAGGACGCGGGGACTGTCTCTTCAAATTGAGGACCCAACACCACAGGAGAGTTGGAACAAACACAATGTGCACTGGGCAAGGGGATGCACAATGATTGATGTAAAGAAACTAGAATTCAACAACGGCTCCACCACTGTGCCTCTTGGCACGGAGTGGGCGTGTCCTCAGGTCCTTGGCCTATTCCCTTACGCCTCAGTCCTCCATCCTGAGGCGTCTTCAAGAGCCGGGATCCCTAACTGCCAAATCTCCCGGGGCTTGCCGCGGCTTGTTGAGTTGTCCGCATATCCCCGCGTGATTTTTCGGGCCCGCAAGGGCCCCAACACGAGCAAAGAGAGCCCCAATACAATCCCAAGATGGTCCAGGAGGGCTTCAAGACGCCGAAAGATCGCTCCAAGACGCCCAAGATGGCCCCAAGACGGGCCAAGAGGCTTCAAGACGGCCCACGAGAAGTCCAAAAGTCTTCCGGGGAAGGTCCCCAAGGCCAAACTCATTGAGTTCCCATACATTTTTGAAGGCGTTTTTGGTCTTCTCGTCTTTTCTGCTTCCCCGCGCTCCTCGACGGCCCTAAAGGCCCCCAAGATCGCCCCGAGACGGCCCGAGAGACGCCCAAGACGGCCCAAGACGGTCCCAAGAGGGGCCCAAGAGGGGGCCGAGATGGGGGCCCGAACGGGCATTTCGAGCTCTCGGTCCCGAAGGGCCGCCAGGAGGCCCACAGGAGGCCCTCGAGAGGCCCCAACAGGCCTCCAAGAGTCCCCGAGAGGCTCCACAAGGCCCCCAAACCCTCCCCCAAGAGGCCCCCGAGAGCGCTCCGCAGAGACCCCAAGAAGCATCCCTGAGAACTCTGACCCACCACCCAGGCACGGGGCCCATCCCGCCACCGTGCCTCGGTTGTGGGCCGTAGGCCTTTAGGATGTTCGTTGGTGACCGGTGCAGCGGGAGGCCTCTCGGTGGCCTCTTGGGGGCTGTTTTGAGGCCTCTGCGGGGCCTCTTTCGGCGTCTTCGGGGCCTCTTGGGGGTCTCCTAGGGCCTCCTGGGGGCCTCTTCGGTGTTTTTTTTTAGGGCGGAAGAGCTCCTCTTGGGACCGTCCTGGGCCGTCTCGTCTTGGGCGTCTCTTGGGCCGTCTCGGGGCCCTCGTGAGCCGTCTTGGGGCCCTCCTGGGGGCCTTTGGACCCATCTTGGTGCAACTTTGGGAGCCTCTAGGGCCGTGTGGGAGAGCCGGGAAGCAGAATAGGCGAGAAGGCCAAACAATTTTCAAATACTCCGACGGTAGGACCACACATGAGAATCTGTTCAGCTTGCCTGGGGATCTTCTCCTGCCTCCTCGCTTCTCCCACCTGCTCCTGCCTCCTCATTTTCATCCTGCCTCCTCCTCCTCCTCCTGCCTCAACCCCTGCCTCCTCTTGCCTCCTCCTCCACCACCTTCTTTTCCTCCTCCTCCTCCTCCTCCTCCTCATCCTCATCCTCATTCTTTTCTTCCTCATTATGCATCCTCCCCCCATTACCCATGCGCCTCCTGCCTCCTGCGTCCTCCTCCTGCTGCTTTCCCTCTCCCTCCTCCTTCTCCGCCTCCCCTCTCCATTTTCCTCTTCTCCCTCTCTCTCCTCCGCCTCCTCCTTCTCCTCGTCTCCATATTCCCCCCCTTCTCCTCCGTCTCCCCCTCCTCCTGCCTCCTCCTTAGGCTTTCTGCCTCCTCCTGGGGACTCTTGGGGCCTCCTGGAGCCTTCTGGGCCTCCCAGGACATCCTGGGGCCTCCTAGGGCACTTGTCTTCCTCCATGTCCTCCTCGTCCTTCTCGCCCTCTGCTTCCTCCTCCTCCTCCTCCTGCTGCTGCTTCTCTTTCTCGTCCTGCATCCTCCTTCCTCCTTCCTCCTCCTCCTCGTCCGGAACACAACCCAGAGGAAGCGCACGACGTGCGTCCCGGCGGATACGCGACGAAGGACGACCCAAAGGAAGCGACCCGGAGGAAGCACGAGAGGTGCGGGCCCCATACTAGGCCTTCCTCACAGTTCACTCACCGACGAGCCTCCCGCCTGATACGTCCCCCATATTCAGGCCTCAGGAGCCCAAAAGTGACGACAGTTACAGGTTCGAGGAGGACCCGCTCGGATTACCAACATGAAGTGCGGGCCCCATAGGGAGAGGGCTCCCGCCTGAGATTCCCTCGCAATTCACACAGACGAGCCTCCTGCCTGACCCTATACTCAGGCCTCAGGAGCCCGAAAGTGACGACAGTTACAGGTTCGAGGAGGACCCGCTCGGATTACCAACATGAAGTGCGGGCCCCCTAGGGGGAGAACTCCCGCCTGAGATCCCCTCGCAACTCACACAGACGAGCCTCGAGCCTCCTACCTGATACCTTCCCTATACTCAGGCCTCAGGAGCCCGAAAGTGACGACAATGACAGGTTCGAGGAGGACCCGCTCGGATTACCAACATGAGGTGCGGGCCCCATAGGGAGAAGGCTTCCGCCTGAGACTTCCTCGCAATTCACTCACAGACGAGCCTCCCGCCTGATATGTCCCTCATGTTCGGGCTAGGGAGAGAGTGATGACGAAGTGATGAGTGAGCGAGTGATTTGCGCGGGGTGTTCAGAGAAAATTATGCTAAGGACCGTCTTGAGAGTCTCTTGGGGCTCCTTCACTGGCCCGAACAAGTCACGCGGGGAGATGCGGGGGAGCCGCGGCAAGCCCCGGGATATTTGGCAATGTAGGTTCCAGGTCTTTGAATACTCTTCAGGAGTGAGGGCTGAGGCTTGGATGATTTTGCAATAGATTCGAGGACACGCCCAGTCCGTGCCCAGAGGCGCGGCGGCAGACTTCTTGTCAATTTGCAAAAATAGCGCTCTCGCGCGGGGTTTCTTCAATTTATCCAGGAATCGCGCTCTCGAGTGGAACGCATTCGCAGTTTATTCAGACGCCGCGCCTTCGACACTCAAGAATCAGGCTCTCGCTCTGGACTTCCTCGTGATTTACTTGGGTACCGCTCGAGATTTCCTCTTATTTGCATGCAGCACTGACGCTTCAGCGACCCGCCCGTTAGGGTCCGCCCGCCCGACCCGCCGGTGCGGCGCTCATTATCCTGTTCCTAACCTCTTGCTACTCTCGTGCTCCATCCTCTCCCTCCCCATTGTCCCTTCCCTCTTCCCTCCCATCCCTTTTTCTAGGGGCTGCACCAACTATACGTGGCAGGTAAGGAAGGGAGCGTACGATCGAAGACGGAGAGGGTGGGTATCGAGGGCTCGGGATATGCATGTTGAATGGCACGCGAGCAGATAAAGAGCGAACATCCTCAAAATGATGGTTGTTGTGTGTTGCTTGTTGTTTGTCGTTGTCGTCGTCCTCGCCTGCGATGCACCCCGGTGCCCACCGCGCAACCCGCCCCGCGACCCTCCGTCGAACCGACCCACCCCGCGACCCACCCCGTGACCCACCCCGCGACCCACCCCGCGACTCACCCCGCACCGCCCCCTCATTCTTATCCGCAACTGCGGGGTGCTATGTAATCCCCAGCTGGGCTTTGCCTTCACGCGGTCATGTTGTTCCCCAGCGCGGCTAAGCCAAATCCGCGCGCCGGGCCCTTGGGCCTGGGTCCCTGTGCCGTCGGGCCCGCTGCGATGTTGCACTCCATACGCAATGCCACGAGATGCGATGCTATGCCACACGCTGATTTTTCAACTGAGAGAGGTTCTAAGCTGTAGTGTACTCTGCCATGGGATGTATTACATGTCATGGCATTGTTTGCCATCGTAACTATGGTGTGCGGTGTTATGACAGACGTGCTGTGTCATGCTATTTCTTTCGGAGTTCCCCAACCAACGCGCGGCATCCAGACTGGGGCCGCGCCAGGTTTTTTTCTTGCGAGCACGGGCGCGCCCTCGGGCAAACGGCTTGATGCCCTGGCGTTCCCGAGGCGCCGCCAGCATCTTCGGCGGCGGAGGCTCATCGGCGTCGAGCTCAAGCAGCGGCGCCGGCATCCTCGGAGGCAGCCTGTTCGGCACCAGCGCCCCGCAGGGCTCCAGCGGCAGTGCCAGCGCGGCGGGCGGCATCTTCGGCTCTCCGGCGGCCACGCAGAGCTCTGGCGGCGCAGGCGGCATCTTCGGCGCTCCGGCGGCCACGCAGAGCTCCTCTGGCGGCGCGGGCGGCATCTTCGGGGCTGGCTCTGGGGGCGGCGGCGCGGGCAGCATCTTCGGAGCGGGGCCCCCCTCTGCCGGCGGCATCTTCGGCGCCGCCCCGGGGGCGAACGGGGCCCCGGCGGCCTCCATCTTCGGCGCGGGCGCCGGCGCCGCGAGCTCGGGCGCGGCGCCGTTCGGCGCCGGCGCGGCGGGCTCAGGCGCGGCGCCCTTTGGCGGCGGCGCGGCGGGCGCGGCGGCCACCTCGGGCTCCTCGATGTTCGTCTTCGGCGGGGGCGCGGCTGCGGCGCCGGCCGCGGCGCCGGGCAGCGGCGGCGGCATTTTTGGCCAGCCTGTCGCCGGCGCGCCCGCGGCGGCGCCGCAGGGGTCCATGTTCGCATTCGGCCAGCCCGCGGCCGCGGCCGCGCCCGCCGCCGCGCCCTTCGGCGGCGGCGCGGCTGGCGCGGCAGCGTTCGGGCAGCCCGCCGCCGCGGCGCCCTTCGGGCAGGGCGCGGCCGGCGGCGCGGCCTTCGGCGGGGGCGCGGGCGCCTTCGGTGCCGCGCAGAGCGGCGGGGGCATTTTCGGAGCCGCGCCCAGCACCGCCGCCAGCGGCGGAGCCGCCTTCGGAGGTGCGGCCGCCTTCGGTGGTGCGCCTGGCGCCGCCGTGTTCGGCGGTGCGCCCAGCGGCGCAGGCTTCGGCGCGGCGCCCGCGGCGTCGGGCTTCGGGGCTGCCCCGCAGCAGGCTGCCGCCGCCGGCCGGGGGGCGGGGCGGGGTGTCCGTCAACCCCCTCATCCCTCATCTCTCCTCCTCTTCATCAGTCGTCCTTCCTGATTGCTCCTGCCTCCATTGACTCCTCCCTCCTCTCTCCCGCACTGCCTCTCCCCTCCGGATGCCCTGACACACCAACCTCTCGCTCCATCCCTCCCTGCCGATCCCCCTTCCTCCCCCCTGCCTGTTCTTTGCGGTTCGCCCCCTCCCCCACTCTTGGAAGACAAGAGATGCTCTTCGTGAGTGCTGCTCTCCCGCCCTTCCCTCCCCCCCAACGGGTGGACCCGCCCCAATCCCGCGCATGGCTTCCCACGCTCTTGGCTTCAAGGCGCAGCGCTTCCCGTACAATTCTAACCGCTTCGCGTAACCCCACCACCTTTGCTGCTTCTCGGACACGTGCGTTCCGCTGCCGTCTGGTCACGCGGCTTCGGCCACCCTGGTTCTTCGCAGCTTGGTAACGTTCACGCCTTCAGGGCCTCAATTCGACTTCCGACTGTCGGTCTTCTGGCTGCGGCCACCCTGGTACTTTCGCAGTTGCTCGGAGTGTGCCTTTTTGACGTTTCCGACGTTCTGCATGTTTGCACACTGGCAGTACTTCTCAGTTTCAGCCAGCCCCTCCACTCGCCGGTCCTCCGCTGAGGTGCTGCGTGAGGCCCCGCGTGCTGCCCGGCCTCCGCTGCTTTAGGTTCATTTAGTCGTTTGCGTGTCCCGCTTTGGGCTGGACTCGCCGCCAGCGCGCTCGCCCGCGGCCGCTGACTAAAAAGTGACCCCACCAGCCCATCCAGAAACGATGCCCAGAAGAGTTGAGGGATGTGGAGGAGCATGCAGTGGAATAAAGGGCTGGGTAAGACGTAGGAGTAATCGAGGGAGCAGGAAGAGTAGGATGAGGAGGGAGAGGGGGAGGGGGGAGGAGGAACGATGAGGAATAGGCGGAAGAGGAAGAGGAGGAGGAGGAGGAAGAGGAGGGCGAGCAGACAGGCCAGAAGCCTCTTGGATGCCTCTCGGAGTCTCTTCGGATTTCTTCCGAGAGCTTCCTGGAGGCCTCATGGGGCGTCGTGGGGGTCTTCTGGCAGTCCCGGGCGCCGCTTGGAGCGTCTTGAGTGCTTCTGCGGGGTCTTTTGGGGGCCTCTTGGGGGTCTCTTGGGGGCCTCTTGGGGGCATCTTGGGGGCCTCTTGGGGGCCTCGCCGGGCCTCCTGGGCACCTCTTGGGGCCGTCTTGCTTCACCCTCGGGAGCCTCGGGGGGCATCTTGGAACCATCTTGGAGCAACTCGATCACAGGACAGGCCGTAGTAAAATAACGTCCACCCCCCAGGTGACCACAATGTGGCCAAAACCTTTGTAATATCAATGCTTTTGGCTTTCTCGCCCTCGCGGCCCTGCCCTTCCAGACACAGGGGAAGGGGCCGAAGGGGAAGAGAAAAGATGGAAGTCGAAATTCCCCAAACCATTCACGCCCAGAGCGTTGGTGGGATTGTTTGTCGAAACCCCACTCGGAGCGTCCTTGGTAGTTCCGACGGGCGCTTTTGCCGCGTCGCCTGGCACTTCCTGCGCCCTCTGCGATTGTCTCCTCATTTCTGGATACCTCGAACAGTAAATGAAAACTGTATGAGCCATGACCATAGATTCTAGAGGCTTACGCCACATCCGCCGACCCCGCTATAAACTACTGCGCCTCCAGGGCTGCATTCCACGAGGCCTCGGGCAGAATTCCGAAGCCGGGGCGAGGAAAAGTAGCAAGAATGCGTCAAGTTCAGGGTAGTGTGTGGCACGCTCTGGGATGTCCCTTGGGATCTTGTGGCGAGGATTCTCGCGGGCCTCTTCGAGGCAGATTCGAAGGGTCTTGGGGGCCCTGTTGGGGCTTCTTTTGGGCCTCTTGTGGGCTCCTTGGGGCCTCTTGGATGCCTCATGGTGGCCTCTTGGGGCCGCTTGGGGGCCTCTTGGGTCCTCTGGAGAGCTTCGTTGGGCGGAGCGCTGGAATTCGCGGTTCGTGGTCTTTCTGTTGGGCCCTTCTTGGGGCTGTCTTGGAGCTTTCTTGGGCCGTCTAGGACGCCTCTTGGGCAACGTTGGAGTTCTTTTGGGTTGTCTTTGGAACCTCCTGGGAGCCTCGTGGGCCGTCTTGGGGTAGTCCTGGGGGCTTCGTGGGGGCCCCGTGGACGGTTTTCAACGCCGTGAAGGCTAACAAGTTGGATATGCTAAAAATGCACGTTTTCCCTAGGGAATTTCAAGATTTTGCTTTCTTGGGGGCTTCTTGGGAGGCCTCTTGGAGGCTTCGTGGGGTGTCTTGGCGGCCTCTTGGGCCGTTTTGAGCTCATCTTGGGCGTCTTGGAACGATCTTTCGGCGACTTTGGGTTCTCGTGGACCGTCTTAGCGGCTTCTTGGGAGGCGTCAAGTGCCTTCCTGGATCATTTTGGACCCCCCCTTCCCCCCTGGCGCGCATTGTCCGGGGTCGTGCCAGGCCCGGGGGGGGGTCAAATTGCCGGTTTGGGGTCCCTGGGGGGGATTATGGGGGGGAGCAATCTCACACGCCTGGAGTCCCACAAGGGGTCGGCGGATTATCAGAGGTCCTCCTCGTTCTCCTAATCGTCGTTCCCTGCTTGTTCAGTTAATTTCCCCGTCGTCCTCCTTGTCCTCTGCCGACTTGAGTTAGCAGAGCGGGAATCACGTCTTGCCTCCCTTCGGGAAGCTTGCCCGCCAGTGTCGTATTCTTGGGATCCTGGTGGCCTCCTCCTGGGAGCCTTCTTGGGACCTCTTTGGAGCAAATGTAGGGCCTCTTTTGGGCATCTTCAGCCCTTTGTCGTGGGTTCTCTTGAGGCCCTTAGGGTTTCTGGAGGCCTCCTGGAGGCCCTTGTGAGCTACCCTCGGGGCCGTTTGTTGGGGGCTCTCGGGGGTTTCTTGCTGCGAGTCCTGTCATTACCCTGCTGCCTCTGCCTGCCTCTGACAACTGTTCCCCGCTGCCGTACATGCCCGAACATTGCAGGGCACTTGGTCATTAGAGCTACGCCTTTCGCAGCGCGAGCGCAAAATAATGACCAGCGATCTCCCATCTCACAGTGGCAACGCGGAGCGAGGCTCAGCAATCCCGGCCTGCGGGCCGTCCATACCCTGCCGCCCCAGTGGGGCCAGAGAGACAGCTACGCTGACGCCGTCGACAGGTAGTACGGAATCGAAGGCCAACACCTTCCTGCAGCTGCTGCTGCTGCTGCTGCTGCTGCTGCTCATCTTCGCCAGCGTCAGCGACGTCGGCAAACCCACTCATCCGCCCATCTCCGCAGCGTCAGCCACGCCAGCAAACCAAATGACCCGCTCATCCCCGCCAGCGTCAGGACGTCAGCGACGCCCCGCTCTTCGACCTCCCGCTCTCGAAGGATTTCAACGAAGCCGCCAAGTTCGACTTCAATTACAACATGCCCTACAACTTCCTACTCTCCCAGAACTCCCTCCATCGAAGTGACTCAGTTTCGTAATCTCCCAGGACTTCAGCGAAACCCACGCGTTCAATTTCTGAATCTCCCCGGGCGTCAACAAAGCCGATGCCGTGGACACCGGCGAATCATTATTGGAGCCCGTCTTGTGCGTGAGGGAGTAGCGCAGCATGGTGTAGCCGATCTAGTGTTTCCAGAGTAGGTTCATCTGTTCGAACCTGAGCTGGCGCTGGTCGGAGCGGCGTTGCTTGTAGATGAAATCGAAATCGGTTTGATGATTGCGAACCAGCTCGGTGTATGCAGTGACTGTTCGGTCGACGCCACCATTGTTCTGGAGTGCGGCGACGCAGGCTTCTTTTCGATTGAGGTTGGAGTCCTGTCGATCCGTCCAGGCTGCCTTTTCAGCGGCCGTTGCATGGTGGTTTGGGAAGTGATGGTATAGAGGGCGCACGGCGTGGGCCATTTGGAGCCATGGCGCGCGCGCGGAATTGAAAAGGGGTGACTCGAATCAGTCACGCGCTGAGGAGTCGGGCGTGTCGAATTTGTGGCTGCACCTGCACCCGAAGGAACCCGAGCCGAGACTGTAGCGAGGAGGAGGGACGAGGAGAAAGAAGGAGGAGGAGGAGGAGGAGGAGGAAAAGGGCAGGTCACGGGCAACGTCAGAGGGGGATTGGCTCGGGTGGGGGGGACATCGGCCGCCGATCGCCAAGTCATCGCCGATCGTAGCCCAGGTACCCCGCCCTGCCCAGGAACGCGCGGCTTCGCTGCCGCGGGTTCATCGCCCACCCGCGGCTCCCCTTGCCCATGTGACAGTCGCTTCCCCTTCGCGGCTCCCCCCGCCCTCTCTCCCGCCCTGCCACCCCGGCCTCGCCCGCTCCAGCGCCCCCTCGGCGGCCTTCCGCAACAGGCTGCCGCCATGGGCGGGAACCTCTTCGCGCAGCAGGGGCAGAACCCGGCGACCGCCGGCCGCAGGATCGTGCGAGCCAAGCGGAGGCCCAGACCATAGTTTTGCCCGACGCGCCGGCACCGCGCAAACGCACGTCGTCGGGGCGATCGAAAAGAAGACCTGCGGGCATTGCGGCCCTGTCTGCATTTCCCCCCTCTGTGATTGTCTCTGCCTCCTACTCCTCCTCCGCCTCCTCCACCTCCTCCTCTTCCTCGTCGCCTCAGTTCCCCCTGCCTGTTTCCCTCTCCCTTTGCTTTTGCACTTGTTCCCCCCCGCGCTTGCACCTGCCCCCCCGCCCCCTTTCCGCAATCCCACCCCAGCGCCACAGTCTTCTCACTCCTGCTCCCCCTCCCCGCAACTTCCGTGAGCTTCCTTCTGGCCGTCCATTACCTCATCAGGCCCCCTCGCGACGCGAGCTTGTTTTTCCGAAAGCGACACGCGTTCGGTCCCCGCCTCGTCGAGAGGGCCCGGGGCCAGGATGACCGTTTGACGGTCGGCAGTTTCGGAGAGCCCCTCGCGCCATTCGCGAGGTTCCGTCGCTAAGGCCAGTTGCCACAGTGAGCCCGAGAAGCCTTTGCACGGCCATACGTACAACTAGTCAGAGATAGCTGCCTGCGTCGATGGGTTGCTGCCGCCACCAGCCTCTGATCAGCCCAACCACTCGCTAGCCCCTGGATGTTGCCAGCGTTGACTGCCACCGCTGACCACTAGCCCCTATTTCGAATACAAAAATTCTGCATAAACATAAACTTGTGGAGTTCCGCGCGGATTTCTTGGATCGGCGTTGGATTCCCGTTCCTGGCGGGCGGAGCGCGTCAGTGGCGGCGCCAGAGGTGCCGCCATGAGGGCCCAGCGCCGATCCAAGAAATCCGTGCGGAGCTCTAAAAGTTTATATTGATGCAGTTTTCTGTTCCTCTAATGTTGGCGCTTACCTGGCCCAACTAGCCCTGGTTGCCCCCCTCGGTAATTGGCGCCAGTAGCCCTCAGAAGCCCATGCCTGAGCACCACATTGCCGCCGACAGTGACTACTGCCATGGACCATCTCAGCCCCTGCCGCCACGGACCCCAATTTGCGAGGAGAGGGAAGGAAGGGGAGGAGGTGAGGGGAAAGGGAGGTTTCTCGGTGAGCATTGAGATTTCCCCAAACAGTGTTTACAGTCAAGGTTTTTGTGTTTTTCGAGGATCTGGGCTGGTCTGCTGCCCCAGCCAGCTTGTCGTCGCCCCGTCGCCGCCTTGTCGCCGTCTCGTCGCCGCCCGTCGCCGCCACAGCTGGGCTGGTCTGCCGCCGCGGCCGGCTTGTCGGCGCCCCGTCGCCGTTCATCGCCACCGCGTATGTGCAGATAGTGCACCACATAGATTGTGCCACATAGCTTACACTGCACCACGTCCATGACACCACACAAGTTGCACCACATAGTCTGTACCACATGTACTGCAGTATGCTAGAACACACGGTTTGGGGTCCATGCGGGCTATCATAGCGAAAGTGGAGATGAGAACATTGGTTGCGATAGTGGCGGCAGAGATGAGGTCCTCCTCCTTGCCCTACAGCTCACCCTGGTCATCCTCCTACTGCAGCTATCGTGCTGTCATGAGGACCGCTAAACAAGGAACGATGGGGCTTTGCTGGCCACGGCGAGCTTCGGTCACACAGAGGCTCCTCGGCCGAAATCTGAGGAGCGGCCCGAAAGCCAGACCCCCTCCTGAGCCCGAAGTGGTCCTCGCGTCAGCGTCTTGACTGTCCTCCTTCTCCTCCTGAGTAGTCCTCCCTGTGCTGATGCGTCCACGAGATTTCGAGCGCTCGGGCGCCAGCGGAGGGCGAGTGCGCCCTGGCGGGCGGGGATCGCCTTCCCCTTCCCCTTTGAGGGGGGGTCTGACGCCATACAGGTCCACCTCTTTCCTCTTCACTGCCCTCCTGGCTGCTTCAGGGGAAGCTTCAGCTTCGGGGCCCTCTGAAACCAGTAGTACTGCACCTGTGCTCAATCAGCCCCCCCGTGCTGGGAGGCTACCCGTTGACCCCTCAATGCGCCTCGTCCCTCTGTCAATCCGAAATTCTCATCTGGCCTCAAGAGCAGCTTGAGTCATGAACGGCTTCAGAGAGAGTGAGAGAGTACTCTGCGGCACAGGGTTGCGGGAACTTCGCACAGGTCAGTCGGTTCCCACAGTGTCCGTTTCAGCTTCGGGGCGCTCTGAGACCAGCACCGCCGTATGCCCAAGCAGTCACACAGCCGGGCAATGGATGTCACAGGTATTTTGTTGGGGAATTTGCGCCATCAATCCCGCCATATTTCATCTGAAATTGCTACAGTCCCCCCCTGCCCATCCGCAGGCAAATGCACGTATACTCTGGGTGATGCCAGCCCATCCTCGAAAGAATGGCGTGGCACCGAAGTTCGAGCCATTTTCGTGGTTGTATTCGTCACATTCCCAATTCCTCGCCGATCAAGGGCCAAATGTTGTCAATCTCTGTCCCAGCCGCGTGGCCGTTAAGAGAACCTACCCACCACGTTGTGAATCTCTGTGCCAGGCGTGGCCGATGAGAGAACCTACCCGCAAGTCCCTGCTTATCGGAATCACAGCGATGCAGTGCTTATTTCTCAGGCATGAGCCGCCCTTTCTGCTACAGCAACCTTGCCGCTTCTATGGGATCAGGGCGCGCGCTTCACGCCCATATTCGATCAATCAATCCTCTGGTGTGGCCGTTGTGCACCAAGGTCCAGCTGCACCAATAGCACGTCACAAAGACAAGGGTGAGCACATCCCCTGGTTTGCGAGGCCGTAAATACTCGGGCGTGGCTTTTCCCCACCAAGGAACTCCTACGCTGTAGATATGCCTAGTGGGTCGTCCTGTGACCGACTTGGGGCCTCGTGGGACCCTCTGGAGGCTTCCCTGCTGCTCTGGCAGGTTCCCTAGTGACACTCGACGCTGTTGATTTCACTTGTGGGCCATCATGTGACTGTCCTGGGAGCCCTCCTGGGACCCTTTTGCGGCCTTCCTGCGATTCTGGCAAGTTCCTAGCCCAAAGCGACCTCGTGTCGTGCGGACTGGGCCACAGCCCCAGGCCACACGCACCATCGGGCCACCGTGCCCTCCATAGTGGAGGGGTCAAGGCGGCCCACAGTCAGATTACCTCGAGTCCTCTGGTTGATTTCCTCCTGCCTAGGTGGAGCGAGGGGGAAGTACCGGGCGGATCTGTATAGTTGTCCTTCTTCGGTGGTTCAGGGAGAAAGCGGGGTGTTGTTGCAGAATAGGGTCGGACGCCGTCTCCCCCTCGCCTTCTGGGGGTAGGAGTCGAACATTTCTAAAGGGCATGACAGCGCTTGCGGCGCGCACACGTGCGCGCGAGGAGGCTGCGGCAGGTGCTCGGGGGGGCGGGGTGTGGGAGGACGTGGGGCGGCGTTGTTGCAGGGAGCGGGGCTCAGGAAGTGGGGTCCAGGACGTTTGTGGAGTTTCCTGGGTCAGGATGTGGCTAGGAGTGTTTCTCGGCCAGGTGCTCGCAGAAGTCGCTCTCGTGAGAGGGAGGGGGAGGCGGGCGAGGACGAGGACGAGGAAGACGAGGAGGAGGAGGAGGAGGACGACGACGAGGACGAGGAGGTGCAGCGCACCCCCAGAGGGACGTGGAGGAGTAGGGCGGGGGGGAGGATCAAGAGGGTCGTGATTCGGCCCGTTCGATTGCCCCTCGCACGCAGGCGAAACGAGGGGGAGTGATTAAACACCGCACAAGGCAAGAAATTGCCACCCCCGACGGAACCCGAATGCCCCGCGCCAGGACAGCCAGGCCAAGCCACCAAGGCCTCCCAAGCTCACGCACGGGAGCTGTGTAGACCTTGCGCCGTGCGAGGGAGAGTCGCCCCCCCCACTCTCAGCTCATGAAGAGCTTCTGCAGCACTCGGCCGCCGACGAGCTTTCTGGCCGTTCCATGGAGTCCCACACCTTGCAGCCGGAGTTGCATTTCACCAGTAGACTATCACGCCGACCCCCCGCAACATTTGCCACGTTGGAAACCGACTCCGAGCAGCATGCGCCACCCGGCCTGGACCCAATGGCCCCGATTAAGGGCAACTAGTCCGCTTCGAGGCACCTGTAGACCTCTAGGTTCAGACCCGACCGCACCTCAGAGACCGATACCTAAAGAAGCCACTCGCACACGAAGAAAGCCACGGTTCGCAGACATCCCGTGGCGACCGCGCTCATCAAGAATCAGAGCCAGACGTGGCGGCCGCCGCCGCGGCTCGGGCACGCTGCGCCCCTTCCAAATGCGATGGAAAGGAGGGGGAGAGGGGGACGTAGTAGTAGTAGTAGTAGTAGTAGTAGTAGTAGTAGTAGTAGTAGTCGTAGTAGTAGTAGTAGTAGTAGTAGGAGTAGGAGTAGGAGTAGGAGTAGGAGTAGGAGTAGGAGTAGGAGTAGGAGTAGGAGTAGGAGTAGGAGTAGGAGTAGGAGTAGTAGTAGGAGTAGGAGTAGGAGTAGGAGTAGGAGTAGGAGTAGGAGTAGGAGTAGGAGTAGGAGTAGGAGTAGGAGTAGGAGTAGGAGAGTAGGAGTAGGAGTAGGAGTAGTAGGAGTAGGAGTAGGAGTAGGAGTAGGAGTAGGAGTAGGAGTAGGAGTAGGAGTAGGAGTAGGTAGGAGTAGGAGTAGGAGCAGGAGCAGGAGCAGGAGCAGGAGCAGGAGCAGGAGCAGGAGCAGGAGCAGGAGCAGGAGCAGGAGCAGGAGCAGGAGCAGAGCAGGAGCAGGAGCAGGAGCAGGAGCAGGAGGAGCAGGAGCAGGAGCAGGAGCAGGAGCAGGAGCAGGAGCAGGAGCAGGAGCAGGAGCAGGAGCAGGAGCAGGAGCAGGAGCAGGAGCAGGAGCAGGAGCAGGAGCAGGAGCAGGAGCAGGAGCAGGAGCAGGAGCAGGAGCAGGAGCAGGAGCAGGAGCAGGAGCAGGAGCAGGAGCAGGAGCAGGAGCAGGAGCAGGAGCAGGAGCAGGAGCAGCCCTACAGCGGCACTGCTCAACCACTGCCGCGTCGCTGCCGTGGAACCGCGTCTGCGCGCGTCGCGGAAAGGAAGCGTCCATCCATCAGCATCACACCGCGCCCCGCATGTCAGTGAGGGCACATAAGAAACAGTTAAAACCTCCCC